CCCGTGCACATGTATGTGGTATATAGACACATGCACCATACACATTACATACATGTGCAACACACGTGTATATGTGGCAGTGTGTGTGATGCATGTGGGTATATACATGTATATGGTGTGTGTGGGAATGCATTGCACATGTATTGGTCTATGTGTGATATGTATACATGTGTGTGTTGTGCTGTGTGGTGCAAGTCTGTGTGCACATACATGTGGTGTGGCATGTGGTGCATGTCTGTATGCATGTGTGTGGTGTGATATGTGTGTGTGCACGTGTGTGATGTGTGTGGCTCATGTCTGTAGGCATGTGTGCTGTGTGATGCAGCTCTCTGTGCACAAACATGTGGTGTGGCATGTGGTGCATGTCTGTATGCATATGTGTGGTGTGGCATATGGTGCATGTTTATATGCATTGTGCAGTGTGATACACGTTTACGTGCACATGTGTGTAATGTGTATGGTGCATGTGTCTATAAGCACATGTGCTGTGTGATGCCAGTCTCTGTGCACATGTATAGCATGTGAGGGTGTGCACCTATGGTCCTGGTGTGGTGTGTACACACGTGAATGCTTGTGCACACGTACATGTGTGGCCTATGGGCGTGTGTGAATGCTTGTGCACACATACACGTGTGGCCTACGGGCATGTGTGAATGCTTGTGCATGTGTACACGTGTGGCCTATGGGCGTGTGTGAATGCTTGTGCACACGTACACGTGTGGCCTACAGGCGTGTGTGAATGCTTGTGCATGTGTACACGTGTGGCCTATGGGCGTGTGTGAATGCTTGTGCATGTGTACATGTGCCTCTTTAAATTCAGGAGCTGCTCACTCGAATGACGTGGGAATGAGCGGAGGCAGGAACTCTGGGGTGTCCCTGAAGGCAGTAAATTCTTCCAGATCTGGAACAGAGCTGCCGGCAAGCGAGCCCAGCCCCGCTTTCTCCTTCCTCCAGGGCGATAATGTTCCCATGAGGCTCATTAGAGAAGATGGATGAATCCTGGCAGCTTGAAGGCTTCCAGAGTCACGAGCGTGCACACGCACACACACGCACGGCCCCACCAGTCTCATTACCAGCAGTTATGTAAAGCACGCTTCCTGGGAACAGCTCGCCTCATTAGTCCACCGCGGTGATTAACCTGCAGAAAGAAGCTCTCTTTCCCAGAGTGGGGCACGCCGTGCCGTCGGTGCCGCTCAAACCTCACTCCGTTTCCAAAGGCTGGAAGTACTTTTCCGGCCCTGAGGGAATTCCCATGGATTTTTTGTTTGTTTGTTTTGTTTTTAGAGAGAGTCTTGCTCTGTCAACCAGGCTGGGATGTGGTGGCACGATCACATCTAACTGCAGCCTCGAACTCCTGGCCTTAAACAATCCTCCTGCCTCAGCCTCCCGAGTAGCTGGGACCTCAGGCACGTGCCACCACCCTCGGCTAATTGCTTTTTGCATTTTTTTGTAGAGATGGAGTATCACTATCTTGCCTGGGCTGGTCTCAAACTCAGGGGCTCAAGCAACCCTCCCACCTCGGCCTCCTAAAGTGCTGGGATTGCAGGTGTGAGGCTTCGGCTGAATTCCCATGGATTTTATGTCAGTTGGTACTGAGGACTTTGAGGCCGATGCCAATGGTGATCCCTGGAATGTGGTGACCACCCACCTTGGGGATAATGACCCCAGATCCCCTCCCCCAGCCCTAATTAGAGCAGAAGCACCAAGGATTCTGCCTGGGAAATGGCTGGGAATACTCCTCCTCCCCAGCCCCTGAGGCTGGTGTACAGTGTGGGCATGGGGGCTGTGGGGGCCCAGGCAGGGCCTGACTCTGGCCTGCTGGGGACCCGGGCAGTCTGTCTCCCAGAGACTGGTGGTCTCGGCTGCCAGACCCCTGGTTAATGTGGAATTGGGGTCCAGCAACCCTGGATAGAGGCACCGGGTAAATGCCGCCGGCCAGCAGTGCTCCCATTGGTTCCTCACATCCACGGCATGACCCTCATCTTACAGATGAGGACTTTGAGGTCCAGCAAGGTCACTAACTTGCCCAGGGTCGTACAGCAGGAAGGGGAGAGAAGAGATTGTGAGTGAGGCAGCCTGGCCCCAGACACAGGCCCCAGACACAGGCCCTCACTCACTGCTCTGCCCTGCCCTGGCCTAAGTGTTCACAGGAAGCTGATGATGGGAAGGCCTGGTGTCCTGACGATGCCCTGGGTCCAACTCCTTGGCTCCCAGGAGAACCCAGAGGAGGGCCGGGCCCTCCTACTCCAGGTCCTGGGATCCTGGCGGACAGGATGCTGGGACCCCTCCAGCCTGCGCTGCTGCAGAGGGGTGCCCCACGGAGGGGGTTTGCAGACCACCTTGGAGCCCCTGCCCTCAGCCCTTGGAGCCTGAGACTCCCAGCACTCTGACCTGTGACCTTCAGTAACGATGATGCATCGGCTGGAATCAGACAGACCACCTAGTGACCCGGTCAGTAAGGAGATTTCCTTTTACTTCCTTTGTTTAATGTCCTTCTTTTATCCACTCTTACATAATTCTATAACTTTTTATTAGGAAAATGAATCCATGAATGCATCATCAAGCTTCAGTGACAGCCAAGCTCCCTCTAGCCTCATAAATCCTCCCGTGGGGTATTTGAAATCAAATGAAGATGTCCTTCCACTGCGTCCATAAACACTGTGGTATGTGCCCCCAGCAGATAAAATTTCTCCTTTTTAGAAAACATAGTCGCAATGTAATCATCACAACTGAGTCCTAAATATTCAGCCCGTTCACATTTCCCTGACTGAAAACAGCTGTGGTCATGTGTTTCCCTTGCTGCGCTGGCCGAGGCGTGTCTTCCGGCCCCGCGCCCTCTGTCCTCTCGCTTTCTGGGCATCTGCGTGTGGATCCCGGGCTGTTCGTCCCGTGGGATCCCACTCTTAGGCTGCTGCTGCTTCTGCCTGGCTGGGTTTGACGAGCTCCTCCATCCTTGCATTTCCTCCAGCCTCGGGGTTGCCAGGCAGTGCCGGCTCCTGCCCTCAACACACTGTGGGGGCACAGGGTGTCCTGGTGCCTCTCATCTGGGGATGGTCAGCCTGGTCACATAGGCCCCCAGAGGAGGGCTGGGTACTCCTGCCCCTGGTCCTGGGATCCCTGGAGGGCAGGATGCTGGCACCCCCTCCAGCCTGTGCTGCTGCAGGGGGTGGCCCCGCAGGGGGAGTTTTTCTACCGCCTTAGAGCTCAGTGCAGTGGGAGGCTGCCTCAGCTCAGGCCCTAACCGTGGTCTCAAGCCAGCTCTCTCCTTGTAGGGACTTGGTTTCCCCATGTTACCTTACTCCCCTGAGCCTGACAGCTCAGCCCTTCTTGTGGTGGTGGCTCACCTCTGGCGTTTCGTGAAGGTTTGCAAAACGGTGATCTTCGGATCGCATTGCTCCTTCTGCGTTTACTCGCTGGAGATCCTCTGGAAAGAGCTTTCTCCCGTGAGCTGCTCGGCTAGGTGAGAAAGTTCCTGCAGGAAAGCCGGGACCCATGCCTGCTTCCTCCCCTATTTGCCAGTTCTCAGCATCACGGCTCGGTGCCCTAACAGCATCCGAGAGGGACAGGAGGTTTCGAAAGTGGTTTGATAAATTCGCGGAGTTTTAACCATTCGATGTTTTCTGCCATCACTACCATTAGTCTGTTCGATGTCTGCAGCGCCCCGGCTGGTGCTGGGACCCTTCTGCACCCGCTCTGCACCGCCAAATGAAACCCCATCTGGACAGGGACCCTGTCTTGCTCACCCACGGATCCTGGGCACAGCAGGGAAGACACTCCCCTGTGATTTCCTCCAGACGTGTTTGTTTCAGCCTCCGTATTTGCATCTGCAGACTGCACGTGGGAAAACGTGGGGCCCCAGCTTCCTGCATTCTGTACGGATCTGCAACTGCGCTGGCACCTTTGGTAAAGACGTCCCCCGTTTCCTTGATCTGTAATCCTGAATCTGTTGTGAACCAAGCGTCCTATGTGTGTGTCTGTTTCTGGACCCTCCAATCCACTTCACTGACCACTGTGTGGCCTGGTCCAGACTCCTGTAGCTTTGTAGTGGGCATTGGCACCTGTGGTCTGAGTCCCTTGCTTTGGTCGTCTTCAAGGTCGTCTTGCTATTCTTACCCCATCCATTCCCATGTAAACTTTAGCTTGGCAACCCCCCACCCAACAACCCCCAACACACACACTCACACACATCGGCCTGGATTTTAGTGGGGATTACACGAAATTTATACACCAATTTTTGTGTTTGTTAACTTGTTTTTAATCCATAAACATATCATATCCCTTCCTTTATTTAAATCTTTTTTTTTTCTTTTTTTTCTGTCACTCAGGCTGTAGTGCTGTGGTGAGATCTCCACTCACTGCAACCTCTGCCTCCCAGGTTCAAGTGATTCTCCTGCCTCAGCTTCCCAAGTATCTGGGATTGCAGGCACACACCTCCACGCCTGGCTAATTTTTGTATTTTTAGTAGAGATGGGGTTTCACCATGTTGGCCAGGCTGGTCGCGAGCTCCTGATCTCAGGTTATCTGCCCACCTAGGACTCCTAAAGTGTTGGGATTACAGGCGTGAGTCCCCAAGCCTGGCTTATTTAAATCGTCTTTAATCTACCTTAGTAAATGTTTTGTTGTTTTTGGAATATTTTTCTAGAACAATTACTAGGTAGTTGATGCGTTTTGATACTACTAAAATGGTATCATTTAAAGATTCTCATTTTCTAATTATTTGTTGCTGGTCTATATAAAGACAATTAATTTTTGTATATTTAGCTTGTATCCAGTGTTGTTGCTAAATTTACTTTTTAAAAATAACAGCTTTATTAAAATATAATTCACATACCATACAGTTCACCTGTGTAGAGTTCAATGCTTGTTAGTATATTCACAGAATTGCACAACCATCATTGCAATCAATTTTAGAACATTTTTATCATCCTCCCTCACAAAAAGTACAACAAACAAAAACCTGTACCAACACTAAGTTCATTTTTCATCCTAACACTCACCTAGAGATTATTTTGGATTTTCTACAAACACAATACGGTTCCTGCTGTGCTTGTGTTGGGAAATCTGCCGGAACCTACAGGAGGGAAATTTTAATGAAAGCACGCGCCTGCTGGAAGACGAACTGGGCTTTTGAAAAGAAGGGCTGAGTTTGTGCTGACATGAACAAGGTACAGAGAGATCTAAATGCACGGTATAGTGCGTGTTTATGTTGTCCACAACGGCTAATTAAAATGTTCATTCTAACCTTAGATGTGGATTGAGAATTAGGCAGATGTATACAGAATTGAATTAGGAGACTCCGGCTACCAGGAATTTTGAGTGATTCCAGTACAAGCTCCTGAGGGTCTCATCGGTAAAGGCATTTCTGAATGCATCCTCTTCCCCTCCCCAAAGAAGAAGATTAAATGTGCCAGGTCTGTAGGGAAGGTCAGCAGGTGTGCTTGTGGCCAAGCCTGCGTCCCCTCACCTGTACCACTGGCAGGCCGGGCCCCCAGGCAAACCCTAGCGTCCGACTGGACCAACTGAGCAGAACAACCCTGGATTAATTAGGCCTCTGCCCCGAGCTGGGGGGAGCCAGCCACAGAGACCCCGGGCGGGAAATCTGGGCCAAGCACGAGCCTCCTTCTGTGGGGGGCACAGCAGTGGCTGCTGGAGTCATTCCCAGGGGTCGGAGGCATCCACCCCAGGCTGCCTCCAGGTGATTTGAGCAATGAAGAGAAAAAATTCTTTCTGTGTCAAAATATGCTTCTGTGTTAGCCTAAGGTAAACTGAGAGAAAGAATCCCTGTTTAAGAGAATTTCTGCATAAGTAAGGTTCACAAGTCAGAGTGAATTTCTGCATAAGTAAGGTTCACAAATCAGAGCTTGTGATTCTCTGGGGGAAAATGTCGTAACAATGTAGGAAACTTTATTTAGACAAGTTTGCTCATTCTATAACTTTGGTACACGTACTACTATAAAATGTCAAGTTTTAACACCGAAAATTAAATTTCCGAGGGTAGCCAGGTGAACAATTCCCTCTGAGAAGAGGGAAGATCCACACTTGATGATTTATTTTCCACCTTTCTCTCCTTTTCCCTGTCCTGGGACTTCCAGAAACCACGGGAGGTGGGGCCAGAAGAGAACAAGGATCTGAAAAATGCTCTCACTCTAACTCCCATGTGGCATGCATGAGCCAGTCTTAGCTTTGGTTTGCACTTTCTGAAAGGAAGGAATTATGTCGAAATCTTAGTTTGAGAGATGATGGATTTCTGGGTGGAAATGAGCAAACGGATGGATGGATGGATGGATGGATGGATAGATAGATGGATGGATGGATAGATGGGTGGATGGTTGGGTGG